ATAAATAAATTATGCTTAATTCTTTTTCTATGTAAACAAAAATTCGAGAAATTTGGCCAAATTGAACAAAGAGGTTTCATATTCTATTTAAAATTCAACCAGCATTGTTTTGCTTCCATCCGGCGATTGTGTTATCGAATATATTTCCCCATCAATATCTTGTTCAGTTGTGTACAGTTCACGATTGCTAAAGCGACTCCAATGAGCCGCATGTTGGTGGTCACGAAGGGAGCGTATCAATTTACTATCACGTGTTATACACACCGCTCGACAACGATTTTTAGCCATGTCACAACAACGCCATGTCGTATGACCATTGGCCTGCGTTTGTTTCTTATTAAAGATGTAACCATCATAGACTAGTTGAGCATTTTTCTTCTGACTTCGGATATAATATACCTTGCCTATACAGAGAGAACAAATATAATAATTTCTTTAGAATTTCAACCGTTTCAAGTTATTGAATGAGGGAGTTTTTGGTAAGCAGACTTAGTAACTTTAAGTTTGAGATTCAGGATTTTTTTGTTTTAATTTGGGCGAAAGAGAAATTCTCCAAGTGAAGAGATTGCAAGAGATTGTTTTGATGGCTTTCATTTTTTTTCAAGCTCTCAATATTAAGATAGAAATCAAACAAACAATTTTTTTGCTGTATCAAATCAAAACTTTTCATCTTTATTTATCATTTTTATTGATTTAGATTGGTTTCAATTACATTTTGTTCAGTTTCTTTTACTTACAGTCAAATATTTTTTGATAGGAATTTATCTAATTTTATAAGTTTGTGTGAAAAAAATATTCCAAATATCAAATATTAAGTGTGATTGCATTAAAATGTAAAATAGTATAAATATATTGATTTCCAGTTACTACACGCGGAAAGACCTTTTTTATCTTATTCAAGAAGAAAAACTCAACATAAATATTACATTTTGCATACAATTTGTGTCTAAAGAGAATTTTTTGGAATGTTTTTTTAGAAAATATCACTAGCAACAAGTTTTGGTGACTACGTATTGACTAAATACATAAACCTTTAGATTCTAAAGTAATGAGATCATGCGCGGTATTGTGAAAGACTGACATGTATTTAAATTTGAAATATTTCCAAAATCAATATCATTAATTTAAGTTACTCGACTCTTCAGAATACCATTTATTGCGTACAATTATGCAAAAAAATCATTTAAAATAAGATAATTGTGAGATTAGAAATGGAAATATTCAAAATTACGCTTTTCATGTAATATCTTTAGTAACTTCTCGATAAGAGAAAGATGATAAGCGTCTTCGCAGTAGATTTAAGGTTTCTTGTCGAAACTGAGCTTTACCCAAGACACTTTTCGGCTATCTCTTATCAGGAACCGACTACAGACATAATTTGGAAAGCACGGTTTTGATTAATTTCCAATTTTATTCAAATCGACACATCTAAAGGTACCTCCCAAACTCAATTCAAGCATACATTCAGTAATAAAAAATCCCTATGCAAAAACTATTTCCAGAAGGGGATTTAATTGAACTAGAGTGTAAACTAGCTCTGAGTAAATAGAGTAAGATTGAACAGCTACAGTCTTTTTTTATAAAAACCAGTCACATTGAGACAACTAGTCAAAGCTTCTCAAGCAGTATAGAATATACAAGTACAGGCTAGCATTGCACTCAACATTTTATTTGCTATAAAGAAACTTAAATAATTGCATTACGCAACTGAATCTTAAGGAAATTCAGTAGCTTCAATCATATTCCAATTTATCTCCTAAAACTCCCTTTTATATCAACTATATTTTCAAATTATTTTTTCATAAATTCACTTTTATAATAAAAAAAAAAATCTAAATCTGCTTGAAATCTTTGCCAAAACAGCCAAATAATGAAAATAATCTTTTAAGTTAAATTGGTAACACACTTTTACTTTTAGTCTAACTGAATGTAGCCAAATCTGTCTTTATCTATGTTCTATAAACAAAACCTCTTTTTAAGAAAACTCTCAATACTTAATATGTCTTTTTTACAAAAAATAAGTTGAAAAATCTATCATAATTCATGTTTAGTATACAAATTGTAAAGCAAAAAAGAAGTGAAAGCAAAGTAATTGTATGTAATTATGTAAAAACACAAAACTAGGAAAGAGTTTAGAAAATTAAACCTGTGTCGCAGGTTTTGACTAGAATGTTATTTGTAAAGCAAATAAACCAAAAAGAAACCATTGCACTCTAAATTAAAATTGAAATCACTAAACAGAGCAATTTTGCAACTAGCCAAATCCCCGTTGATATTTTACTGCACTTTTTTTTCAAATTAAATCAATTTCAATTGAACTCAAAACTCACACACAAAAAGCTTACATAGACGTTATTTTTAAATGATTAACAAATTTATGAAGAAAAAAAGACAACATTGAAATGTTTCGAAAAAACAATTTCAAATAGAGACACTTTCTCATGACATTTGTGATAAAGTCCCAAATTGTATGAAATACGATTGCACTGGAATTGATTTGAAATTCTAGATGATTGAATGTGTGTGTATGAAATGAAAGAGAAAAAAATCACGAAGAAAAATCATGAGAATTGAGGTGATAGTTCAAAGTGAGTGAACTGATATGCAACTGATGGGTGGTAAGTGCTCAAAAATGAGAAAATGGAAATTGAATTTGCTGGTGAGTTGTGAGATAAAGGTGACCTCATCTATATGAAACCAATAAATGACTTTGTTTGAATCTATCATCAGATGTTGTTCATGTTATCGAACGGAAAAGGGTTAATGGAAACGTGTGACTTTTGAAAATGCAATTAAAATTAAAGCGTGTCATGATAATAAACTTGCATTAAGAATTGAACAAAATTGGTTGTGAAAATGGCTAATTGCAAAAATGAATCGAAAACTAACTTAAAATGAAAATTCTGAACCGAAAATGTTATGGCGAAAAAATGTAGTTGAATATGAAGTATAGATGAAGAGTTGATTGTTGAAAAATATTTTGAACCTTTTTTTCTCTCAATGTACTTTACCAATGCTTCGGTCCGAAGCAAAGAACCATTTCGATGGCTGTTTAGTTTTCTCAAGCTTGCGCCAGAAGAAAACCCCGATTTGAGGAAGTAATTTTTATTTAATATAAATAAAGGTAATCTGTTCATACCCACCGTACCAATGGTTTCGACTCAATGAGCCAAAACATTACCAAATACCTTAGCGGATTGCTAGACATAATACCGGTTAACCCAACCAATATGAATGGCGGCCCAGGAAATCGTCTATCGTCAGTGCCAAATCGAATTAATTAAAAATCGACTTCGCTTTCGTCCATCTCTTCGTAGAGGCTCGTCTTCCTCGTCTTCTTTTTTTTCAACACTTCACAACACTTTTGTTTTTGAATAATTTTGAAAAATGTCTCAAATCAAAGCCAAACACAATTCATGCAAAAACATCAAAGCATCACGAATGAAACTATGATATTCGGACAAAAAAATGTTCCAGCAATAATTGAAATCATCGCGTAAAAATGACGAAATTAAAAATGGAAAAAATGCCAAATTGAAAATCGCGCGATTTTAAAACGGTCGCGTTAAAAAAAACCCGGATACGGTTATAAAATCAAAATAATTTTGAAAAAAAAAAAATCGCGTAAAAAAGAACGATATAAAATAAATCGAAAATATTCGCGAAAAATGTCCATTAAATTAAAAAAAGTCAATTTTAAAATAAATGGAGGAGAAAAAATAATAATTTGTTCGGGAGCCGACAAAAAAGGTCGACAGGAGATAAATAAATAATAATAAATCGGAGACTGAATACAAAAAGCATTAGAAACTCTCGCCAATTCCCATGCTTTTCATATTCATAAAATAGTTTGCGGGCATATAAAATATTTGATTGTATAAATATAAAAGGGAGATACAGATATATAGATTCAGACTACCTTATTCAGTATCTTCACAATTGCAGAGAACCAATACAATATGCATGTGTCCGTGTGTGCGTTGTTTTGTTCAGTTATTGAGTGCAATTGATGCGCAAATCGAATCCCATGAGTTTCGAATTGAATAGAATTGTTGGATGACACTAATGCATTGTATTGTTTCTCTAAATGGAATGATACTGGTCTAGAGAAAAATGACAAAGATCAACTCATTGAAATGTTCATTGTATAGCGCTGTTTATGGGCTCAAAGCCCCAAGTAAAAACTCCAAAATGGTTTCAATGGTTCAAATTGATTTTATGGGCATTCAATTCAACAAATAAAAATCGTATGTATTTTCAACTCATTAAAACGGATTTGTGCGAGAATCGAACCATTTTGAGTAACGACCGACATTTTTCAATTAAAAAAAAAACATCTATTGTTGAGATGTTTTGATAACAAAATTCGAAAGCGTTTATCTGTGTATAAAATCGAACGCGGACGACAAAATCGAAACATTGCTTCGAGTAAAACTGCTACAGTTTACTCATACCTGTAATCGACGTTAAATTTATTCGGCTCAATTCAAATGTCTGCTCACGGTAGTGTATCGCTTTGTGTGTATGCCTCTCTCTCTCTCTTCGTGGCGTTCCATTTAACGTATCTTCCACAAATACACTCTTTTTATTCATTTTCTACTAAATCACTAAGTCATTTACGTTAATTCGAGCACAAAATTGAATATTTGAAGCAAATAGGAAAATTACCAAAAAAATTCAAGAAAATGGAATAACAATGAATCTAATTTACGTTAAACACCGAATTAAAAAAAACTATTATCTTTGCAAAACGATCAAAAAAGAATATAAAATTGCACTGTAAGTAATTAATATTATGGCTGGGCCGGCAAGAAGTAGATTCTCGATACAATGTAAAATGATGGACGAATTGTATTTTCTAATCGAACTTAAACATGTAAACAGTACTCGAAACAAGGAGCAAATTTCGTGTCAATGCTAATATATGTGTCTATACAATGTCTTTCAATGAGCATAAGATCCTTAAGTCGTTGATAATAGATTGAATTTTTTTTACTAACCTTGTGCCTCGTTAGCCGATGTGTCACCTTCATTGTAAGAGTCGCCAAATCCAGATGCCGATGCGCCTTTTGTCGTGTCTTCGCCTTCCGTAAAGTAGCTTTCGTCGTATTTCATATCACCGTAAGATTCGTCTTCAACATATGTTGCTTCAGCATCGTCAGCCTGTTCAACATCGCCATCATCGCCATAGTCCGGTTCAGCCTTGGTGGGTATTGTTTCGATAGGTAGATCAATGAATTCCGGTTCGCCAACACCTTTGCCAACGTCGGCGGCCGATGTGACTTGAACAATTTGAGTGGAGGTTCCTTGTTGGGCTGATTGAACAACACGTGACGTTTCGGGTTGTTCAAGCGGATCCGATGATATGGTTTTTATGCGTTTGGCCGAAGCTGGTGCCGACACAGCACTTCGGGGTAAGACACGTTTTTGTGACACCATGATGGTAGCAGCTTTGTCGTCGCTACTATCTTCAGAGTCCAATTTGTACGATCGGCTGACATTGCGCTGTTGTACGGTGCGCGGCCGTTGTTGACTTTGTACAACGGGTGTTGAGGTAGCTTGTTTGATTGGTACGTGAGTTTGTGTGGAAGGCATTTGTACTGGTGCTGATTGTGTGTCACCATTTTCAGTGAGACCTTTGATTTGTAGCGCTTCCGCTGTACTGATGAATGTTGGCAAGGCGTCTTGCTTCACATTCACTTCGCCACAGTACATGAATTGAATCAAGTCTTTCAGTGCGGCATGTGGAACGTCTTTCAGGAATACTATTCGTATGAACAAAGAAAAATAACCAAACGATATTCATTAGAACATTTGCATTGGATAATTTTAAACGCGATTGAAATGGAATCAATCACTTTCTTTGGGAAAAAAACGGTGAAAAATTTAAGATTTTTCACAAAAATGGAAAATAGAGCCAAATTTATTACTTACCGAATGCGTGCTGATTAGCAGGCATTGTTGTGAACATTTGTTGAAAGTATGGTGAGCATACTGACAACACCAAACGATGAGCCTTTACTAGCTGACCTTCTGCCGCTAATGTGACATCGACCAAATCGCCCCGGACCAGCGATTCATGAAAACCGGTTGATAGATTTGTGTTGTAATTGTTCCAACACAATGAGAACTGTTCTTCTTCACCGTCCGCCATGTTGAACGGGTGTGCTTTTGCGACTTATTTCGGTTCTTTATTTCAGAACAAAAGGGAAGAGAAAAAAATCAAAAAATTAAAAAATTGGCACAATAAAAAAACTATTAAATTAATTATGGAAAAAATCGTTGGGAAAAGACATGCGCAATTCTGTATTGATTTATTGCACACAAAACGGAATGCAATTTGTGCACGGTATGACGAGCCAAGAGACGCTATGCTTTCAATGCATACTTTACACAATGCATAAAGTGAGATAGAGAACAGAGTGGATGGATATAGACGCAAAAATGGCGGCAACACAATGCTAACCGCTCTATCTATAGCAGTGTGCTGACTGTACATGTACATCCAATATATATGCTATGCCTGCTGTTTATACAAGCCTCTTACCCACAGCAATGCTGTGCTGGGGATTGTTCTTGAATGTTAGACAGAGACGTAAAATCTAATGCCGTTAAGGCTATTTCATTTTCGCACACACACACCAATGAAAATATAAAAAAGCGAAAATGCCGTAATTATATTTTGCAGACGAAAATCCATTAAAATTCAATAAAATGATCTTTGTCGGATTTTTGTAATATTGGCTTTCGTGTTGCGAAATTTTTTGTTGAATTTTTTTTTGGATTACGAAGAAAATACCGAGAATAATTGAAAATAAAAAATCATTGGCTTGAGAGTGACGCCATACTTAAGAGCAATTAAAATGAGAAAAAAAATCTCAAAAAATCCGAAAGCGAAAAAATGCGAAAAAAACGGAAAAAACGTGTTTGTTTATTTGTATCGAAGAAAAAAAATAATGTTTTTGTTTATAGATTTGAATTCGCATCGCCATTTTTTCGAAAACTACGAAAATTCAAGCAAACGACAAAACTGAAGCGCGTCGAACAAAGATGGCGGCCGTTTCGCCTCGAACAGAAAAAAAAATTCAACAAACTACTATAATTTCGAAATACCGCACAAACAACCGAATTTGAAACGAAAAAATATGCTCACAATTTTTTTGTAACGAAAATATGAAATAATACGCGAAAAGATGAAAAATAAATATTATAAATACCTTATATGATTTGTAGCTTTGATGCGGCCGTGTAATTCACAAACACTTTAACTCAGAAATGATTTTTTTTTCTTTTGTATCCGGGAGCAACGCCAAAATACGTTGTTACACTTCGAGTTCTTTTACTGGAATGATGCTCGTTATACGACTCTACCCCAGCTATACGCTCAGTTTGTTCGGTTCGGCACCGACGACGACGAAAACCGATGACAAGCGCGCGTTCGTTGAGCTTGGTGTGGAAAATGAGTGCGTCTCATACACACTCAACGAAACATCTGCTCGTTAATAATTTGAATTTGTGGTTCACAATTTTACATTAATTTCGATCGAAAAAAATATTTTTCATCAAAGAATGAGACCATTGATTTTTTTTGCAATAAATAGTATAATTTCTGGTCAAAAATCGATTTGAACAAAATAATTCTTATGGTTTGATTGTTTGTGTGAGCGAAGCAAATGTTCGTTGTGAAACGATTCACACATACCACTGAACGACACTAGGTGACGCCGTACAACAGCGACAATCCAATGGAAAGTTTTTGGGAATCATGGAAATACGATGCGATGCTGGCAATTTATTATGTGTATCTCTCTTTTTTCAATCTCTTTCATGCGCGTTCCCTTTCTAACTCATTGAAATCAATGACAAAAGTCCGAAAAAATAAAATATGATTTTACGAAGTGAAATGGAAAAAAACCGGAAAAAATGCCAAACAAATGCAACCAAAAATATTAACAAAATTTCTTATTTCGACAAAATGAAAACGAAATTCAATAATTTATCGAAACTAAAAGTAAAACTAATGTCATGTAAATGCGTTTGATTTGAAGAGAAAATGCTTGACAATTTAATTCGATGCAATTGCCAAATTATGCCGATTATCTATTTCTGAATAACGTTTTCTGCACATAAAAATATATATTCAGCATTTTAAAATGTGTGGTGGAATCGAAACGTAATTCGACGAACCATACAAAAGTATCGTAGGAAAATTAGCACATAGAGATAATGAGTTTCACAAAGCCCAATTTCGAAAATACGGCGATGTCTTATGCGTATTTTATGACAAACGTCAAACTGTATGAAAAAAAAAATGTTCAACTGAAGTGAACAAATAATAAATTAGTATTTTTTTAACGCGATAAACCCGGCTTTATCTATTTGTAATTTTATTTAAGCATTTGTTAACAAAAGTTACGAATTAAAAAAGATGCTACGAATTGTTGTTGATTTTCTGAAAAATAGACCAAAAACAATTCGCCATTTTAGTACAACCAGCGTAAAAATGATGTTTGAAGAGAAACAAATTCAGCTGAACTGCAATAAGAATTTGTACAATATAAATTATGTGCGCAGTGGTCATGGGCAAAATGCTGTGATATTGTTGCCTGGTGCATTGGGATCGGCGGAGACCGATTTTAAGCCACAAATTGAACAATTGCCAAAATTACTTCCGAATCATACGATAATTGCAATAGATCCGCCTGGTTATGGAAAATCAAAACCACCAAATCGAACATTTCCATTGGATTTTTTCCATCGCGATGCAAACGTCGCAAATACATTAATGCAAATGCTTGATTTTCAAAAATACACAATTTTAGGCTGGAGCGACGGCGGTATTACCGGCCTAATTATGGCGGCAACATACAGTAATGCCATAGACAAATTAATCATTTGGGGTGCAAACTCACATATTCTACCTGAAGAAGTAGACATTTATGAAAGTACGTAGAACAAAATAGCATTGACATGTATAATTTCACCATTTGAAAGGGAACGAACATAGGGTTTTCATTTATAAGCAGCTGTCAAGCAATTTGCTTGTGTCAAGCATAATATTGAACATTCAGCAATCGCTTGGTTCTGTTTTCAACACAAATCGAATAGAGACCGGTTTGTTTCTGTTAATCTGTTACCGTTTGCGATAAACAAAAAACAAAAATTTGTTTTATTTCTTTTCTGAAAGGTATTCGAGATGTGTCGTTATGGTCGGCAAAAATGCGAGAACCAATGGAAAAAATGTATGGAGTTGAATATTTTCCACAGCTGTGGTCGGAATGGATTGATGCGATGAAACAGTTGTTTGAGAAAAACAATGGAGACATTTGTAAAAATGAATTGAGTCAAATTACTGCCAATACTTTGATTGTGCACGGAGCAAAAGATCCAATGATTCTACCGCAACATGTACCGTTTCTCAGAGAACACATCAAAACAACCGAGTAATTTATCAATGCTTTCAACATCTTTAATCTGTTTAATCTTGAACAATTCTAATGAACTAACGTCCTTCATTTCATTTCAATAACAGATATTATGAATTTCCAAACGGAAAACACAACATCCATTTGAGATATGCGGATGAGTTCAACGCTATCGTCAGCAAATTTATCCTAAACAAATGAAGATATTGAAACTTAGCACATGAATGTATATATATAGAGGTAGTGGAGATGGTTGTTGTTTGTTTGCTTGTTCGTATTTAATTCGCTGTGTTTGAGAATGAATCATATTGTTGGTGTTATTTCGAAATACAAAATAAAGTCAACGGTAAAAATAAAGTTACACATTTTATGTTCAAATCATTTTATTTTCGCGTAAATGTTTTCCGTTTCGTTCGGTCTTTTCTGTTAACACATAATACTTGGACAATATATTAATATTCTATCGTCGAAAAAAAAAACACAGTATCAACAACAACACTGTTTGTCAATGACTACTGAACAAAAAAAATCCTCTTCACAACGACTATAATATATTTGCTCTATAATCTCTTGATCTCAATCCTAAAAAATGAAATGAGTGCTTTCTAAACTTAAATTTGGCAACCGAGAAAAAAACTGGCTTACAATCATAAATTTTGCAAAGAAAATGAGAACGAAAAATTTATGGAAAATAAAAATGATCGAAGACAAAAAAAAATATTGTCACAGTTTTGACCATCGCTAAAAGAGTCTTAAATAAAAATTGAGATAATGCGAAGTAGAAAAAAAAACATGTGGCGAATGCCATAAAAAAAACATAACAAAAATATTATTCATACTTTGCACACTTAAACACACTTCCTCATCTATTCTTAGACTGATTTAGGTTTTAAATAGATTTAACAAGAGAATGACAGATAAAAACAGAGTCTTCTGATTCATCGAAGGTATGCCAAATGAACTCTGCTTATTAATATGCTTGGCGCTACGTGCCTCTATTTTCTTATGCAGTAAAACGAACACGCTTGACGAATCCTTCTGAATCACCAACAAAAACAGTGTGATCGGGTCCAGCACACATTGCATTTATGCATTTTCCAGTGTCAATTTCTTCAACGAGTGTGAGTCCCGATTCCAAACCCGTCCACTTTTTCACCTTACCATCCCATCCAGCTGTGAACAAAAAGTCATCCACATCGCACATTGCGTTGATAATCATCGAGTGAGCATCCTATGAAATTTTTTAGAAAAATATTCACCAAATGATAAAGTACACTTTTTTAGGTTTGCTTTTCAGTTTCTCTACTTACTTCTTTGGTGTGAAATTTTTTGAATGGTGTTTCGTTTTTGGCAACAACAATACCTTTGCCATCGCGAGTGGCACAAACCAAGAATTTCTTGAGTTTGCTCACTTCTGGTATCATTGATGGACGACGACCTTCAACGACCGGAGGCTTTTCAGTTCCAATCAAAAGCAATGGTGATTTGCCTTCAACAGTTCCTTTTGTCACTTGTGACTCCCGTGGTGTAATGTCGGTAACAACAACGTCTCTATCGCCAACTGTGTACAATGTATTTTCTTCAACGGCCATACTTCTTACCTCTTCCATTACATTGTACTGTGCACCGACTTGATTGTGATACCACTTGGTGACAATGCCTTTATCGTCACCCGAAAATAGAATATCATTTGCAACATGTAGACAGGTCACATCATCCATAACAGTTTGCAACAGAATGTCGTTGTGGTCATGGCTCCATGGTCGACGGAAATAACGCAAACTACCATCACGACCACTTGAATACATTTGTTTGTGACTATTCACCACTAATGCCAACAATGCGAAATCTTTATGTATCGCAATTTCGCGGCTGAATTTTAGTTCGTTATCCCACACCTATTTAGTATGTAGAAATGTGCGAAAAAATGAGAGGTAAGTATCCAGCAATGAGATTTGGTCGAAGTAAGGTTTTTTTTTTTGGAAAAGTCAAGCAGAAAAGTCTGAACCAGATTAAAAAAAGGCGAAAACTTTCTTACATTAATAACACCGTCTGCCGATCCGGAATACAAGTGTTGGCCGTCAAAACACAAAGATGTAACTTCGCCAGCATGTTTGTGGCTGGCCTCACTGATAATATCGACTTTTGCAACCATTTCTTCGAACTTTCAACTTCCTTTGAAAAAAAAAATCCACTCAAAAAGTTTGTTTCACCTTTATATAGCTTGGATGTGCTAAATGCTTGAAATTTCAACTGAAACTGAACGTTCGAATGCCGAGCTAACTGGCATTTATACAATTTTTTGCGGGAGCTTGTGCCGTGCCCACAACTTCAATATTATACAGATACGAATGCCTGATATTTTTATGTGATTTATTTTTAGGCCAATCGAATAAACACACTTGACGGAGTATGGTCGGGCTAAGCTATATACATCGGATTTTATTCACACGTCGCATTTACGTTTTTTTTTTCTCTTTTGAGTATTTCGATCACAAAAAATTCTCGTCAACATCATGACACCACACATCATCCAGACAGTCAGCTCAATGCTTATAAGCATTTCATGCATTATTATACGGTTGAATTTGAACCCAGATGAGAATCTCATCATTAGATTTACCTTTATTTTTGCCAAATTTGTGTGTCTGACGACAAAGATCGCATATTTTTGCGCATCCAAATGTGTTGTTTTTGTTTTTGTTTTTGTTTTTGTTTCTGTTTATACCTCATTGGTATGTATTTTAAGAGCCGAGCTCTTTATTGTCCGCATATGTTGGTTGACTAAATTCATTCATTCAGATATTGTGGAGTATGAGTAATCCGAACATTTATAGACACACGAAAATCATCGTGTGTCATCGGTCAAAATCATCTCAAATAATTTTTTTTTCTTAATTTTTTTTGTGTCTTTCGCGAGCAGCAAAAAAATCTCACGCATTTGCCAGAACAATAAAAGCAATAACAGCAGTATGATCACGAGCCAACTTCGAAGGTGCCATTACCAAAAAAAAATAACAAATCGAATAATGTCAAAATGCTAATTAACTTTTAAATGGGTCCGAGTGTTCAATAAACTGTATTCGTTTGGCAAAAAATTCACTCCAAACATTTTATGATGTTCGTGCACTTACGTGCAAAAGAAGAAATGTTTTTTTTTTCAAGTCATAAACTCTCGACGATATATCAACAAGTCACTGCAACATGAAAAGCGTTTTTGCACATTTACCAAGAGGTCGAATTGCCTTGGTCAATCTCATATCATTTGAATGGTAGTCACATTATTTTCATGTGATTTCCAAAATTGCCTTAATAAATAAAAACATCGCCAAAACATGAACAAAATTCACCAACACATTAGCTAAAGTTGAAAATAAACAATTTGTTTTGAAAAACAAGAGAACAAAATCAACAAATGGATTTCATCGTAACTCATGCAATTCGCATAATAATTGCATACGGCCAAATGTCATAGAAAGAAAAACATCAATTCAAACATAAATTCTACAAATATTATTGTTCATAGAATTTTTGTTCGTGCAAATTTTGAAAAAAATTCCAACGACCCAAATTTCTTACCGTCACCGAGTCCTTATGATTGAAAAACAAATCACAAGGTTGTTTTCCTCTAACGTGAGGCACATCACCGACAGTTTAGGTGTGATTTTATTGTATTGTATAAATGTTGACGTTTTTTTCTACGCTGATCAACTGTATCATATTTACGTTTCTGTTTCCGAAAGTAATTCATATTGATCTGAATAAACAATTTTGATTGTGTCAAAAATCGTACGTTGGCGCGCTTTTTCTATTTACGTTTTAAGCGTCGCATGTTTGCGATAAATAAACGATAGTTCTCTTTTTTCGTTCATGTTTTTTTCTTTGTCATTGTCGTTCGCGCGATAGAATGAGATACATGCTACGGATCACGTTCATTTCTGCCGGTTTCGCGATGATGATGAAAGCAAACAAATTGAAAAGCAGCTAGAGATTTCTCGAACATCGATGACGTTCTTATGTGATATATCATTACAAGTAGCTGTTTCAAGTAGTTTCCGTGCCATTGGACGTGTGCCAACTCGTGCGCTAGTTATCTCTGTATAAAAACTATGTTTTTCTAGAATTGCACCGTAAATTACTCTATGCTTCGATTTGACGAATTAGAAAAAAAGAACGCATAGCGGATGTTGATGTTTTGGCACCGAACCTCTGTAATTGAATTGAATGTCATGTTCATCGACCGAGCAGTATTGAACATATGTACGTGAACAAAAAGAATTTAGTTTCGATTCACAGGTAGGTGGTTGAAGATAGCTGCCGTTCGTGAACTAAGTGAAGTGATCATAATTTTTCAATAAAAAAAAAGCATTTTTCATTAATAATTCCGTTATAGAACTGCTCTATTCGAGCATGGCAACATCGCTTGAAGCTTATCTTGTTGAATTGTCAAGTGCAAACGACTGGCACGGTATAATCGAAGCTGGCAACTTGTTCAGCGTCGAGGAAAAGACAAAATTTTTATGGGCTTGGCCATCTGTTGCGTCGTTAGCATGGCTAAAGCGAATTTTGACGGAAAATCACATTGGAAATATATTGAGTGTGGGATGTGGATCTGGCCTACTTGAGTGGCTCATCAGTAAAACGACCGGCGTCAATGTGGTTGGATTAGAATTAGATAAATCCTGGTGGAAATCAGCATACTCACCCACAACATTCATCGATATTAAATTCACCGAACGTCAAATAACGAGCGAATTTCTGAAAAAGTGCATTCAAGCGGAACCAAGTCAGTTTGCATTACTATTTTGCTATTTTAACAATCGAAAAGCGTTCCTAGAATATGTGCGCGCATACAGCGGTGATTTAGTTATAATTGTCGGCCCAAATAGTGAACAACACATCGTCACCGATCCGAATCCATTAAAACCAAACTTTGAAAGTGATGAATGGTCGTTGCTCGACTTTTGTCAGTTTAATGATCAATTTTCGAATTGTATGAGCATTTTCAAAAGAAGAAAATATAATAAAGAGAAAATTTAGCACAACTAAAATAAATAACTCTTTCAATTCCATTCGATGGATTTATTTTTATTAATCTCACAACAGCAAGAGAAAAAACGCGAATTTTGAATGAATTTAATGCTTTTTGAAATCACATGTATAGGATGATATGGCACAGTTTATGTAGTCATTCTGCATTTTCAGTTTTTTCCCAGCACGTCCTGTTTTTTTTTTTAAATCGACCCTATCCAAAAATCGAGAATTTCGATCATCATCGGTGAACAAGTATTCTCATAATTTCACTTATTATGAAGAGCTAGTTGCAACTATGGTGTCTCCGTAGTCTGCAAGGATGTGCCCTTTCAACGCGGCAATAACCAATGAAATCGATTAACCTGATGGAAAATAATAGGAATATATGTGTTCTCACGAATTCGAAAAATATCAATTTTTATCATATTTTTGCACACATGAAACCACACATTTTTCGAACAACAAACGATACTTGGGTTTTTATGGCTGGTAATGATAGTACATGATGTCCAGATTATATCATGGCCGTTGAGCACATTCGATCATTGCATGGATATGATATACAGTATCATTTGCGGTTCTCTTGAAAATCATCAATTTTTGATGATTTTATCAATTGACCGCATACTCATTCCTTTGTGTATCCACGCACACTGGAATGTATTTTAATAGATATTTGAAGTGTATTCGCACTCTTCCTATTGTAAAAAAACAAATCAATGTCTATCAGTTTAATCGCACTGATAAAACGTGCATATCAATTTAGTTTCTGTTGTCTTTCAATTTTTGCTGTGTAGACTATTGATATCTTTATCATTGCATATCAAAGGAATTAAAAAATAGAATTTTGTGGTTTATTTGCATTATATAATTACTGTGAAGTGAGAATTTATCATTTAAATTCATAAATTCGTCACATTGTAACGAATAAATTTTGTTTGAATTAAGCAATATGAAAACAAAGTGGGTTTTATACAATCGAAAGGAATTGCACGTAATATATTTGAAATTGCTTCGAATCATTTATACAATGTAAGTATTTCCATTGAAACGTTTGATTGAAAATCAAAATATTCACAACCAAATAACCAATTGAGACGAAAGTAGTGAAAATTCAAAGTAAACTGAAATCTTCAATGGAGACGCATTTTTACATGAAATTGCTGA